GTTTCCCTTCTGTCATGTTGCCTCCACAATCTCTTATTGGTAAACTCATTCCAAAATCCATCGGTCTCTTTCCATTGACAGTTCCTGCAAAACAGACTTACTTTTGGTAAAGGAAACGTACTGCTCCAATTACCCACTGTTTCTACAGCTGAGAAGCTTCCACAAAACAAACCTCAGAGTTTGCCTCTGATTTGCCCCATCTCTTCAGTCTTAGGTCTGTGCATTGGTAAGCAAAAGTTCCCAGGAGGTGACCTTTCCAAGACCAAACGTGGGCAGTGTGCATGTTCAGCCTTCCCAGGCCAAATTCATCAGATCATTAAAGCAGCTCTGCAGCAGCAGTGACCATATTTTTTTTTTTTATCTCCAAGTAACACAGAATCTCATTGGCTGGAGGGACTGAGTGATAAGTCAGCCTCTATTCCAGGCACTTCCCTGGCTTTTGTAGCCTCATCATTGCCTTCAAAGAAGCTGTCAGCAGGTTGAGGCCAGCTTGAAGAAGAGAGTCCAAGTAGAGCACTACTCTGGGAGAGCCCTAGGCACTATGAATGGGCTTGCAAGCCTTCCAAAAGCCTTACAAGACCCAACAGACACTTGCTTCTTTTAACTGATTTCCATCTTTCTTTCTGGTGTTGCAGTATAAATGCTCTTTCATGTGGCAGGCATAGTGTTTGGCTTTGTGCCTGGAGTTAGCTTTCTCCACAATCCCTGTCTGCTGCACAGTGGTCACCCTGAGGCTCCTGGCCCACAGTGCCACTGCAGTCTGCGGAGGCCACTGTTGTTTTTTCTTGGGTTTCTCCCATTTATCACCAAAACCACCTTTTCTGTCAACTTGAGACGCCTCAGCCTAGCTGAACTCGCCCAGTTAGCCCTGGGAAGGTTTGGATCCCAGAAGTACAAACCTGCCAGCTCCCAGGAAGAGTACACATTTTCATTAACACAGATACAAGGTCACATTCATTGCCATCATCTCACTTCAGGCAGTTGCTTGGGTTAAATCCAGCCCTGTCCATCAAAGAAGTAAGTTTATAATGTCTACTACCCTTTCCCAGCTCCAGGAGAATATGTTCTGAAGGAAGCAAGACAACATTTGGTAAAAGTGGAATAATATGCTACCTAGTAGAGCACACTCCAATGACTTTAGGTAAATGGCCTCTCACTTCAGTATCTTACCCAGCTATCACTTGCCACCTCAACAGGCAGTAAACTGTTCTAAGGAGTATTTATGAGCCATACAGAAATTACTATCACTCATGACAAAATATCCAACTCTGCTTGTAAATCTGCACATGAAATAATTCATCTGTCATACCGTCTTCCCTCTCTTGCTGGATTTCCAAGCATAATCTACCTTTTTTTTTTTTTTATAGTTTCAAAAGTTTGAGTGTATTAATTAGTCATGCATGTTTTCCTGTGCTGAAATTGTGCTTTGTGAGAAAATTTGGGTGCACAGAGTACCAGAGGGTGATGAACCACAAGCGTTGGTTTTAGCGCTAGGATTCCCTGCAAGCACTTGTACTCAAGGCATCACTTTCTTACAGGAATCTTCAGGTGTTTCAGTGGAATCTCACCTCTTGTTGCCTGAATTTTGTGGCACAAAGTGTCTTGGTCTGGATTCATGGTCCCATACTAAAAATATATTCATAATCTTTATCCAGTCCAGGTATTCTGTTCTGGTTGGTTTTCTGTATTTTCTACTGGCCGCTGTGTTGACTCGTCGTGTAGAGAAAATCAGTGGTCTTGATAAAATCGGAAGGTTTTATCTTCCACAGTTTGTCTTTTTGTGGAAGTTTCAGTCCTGTGATAATTTTAGGCTGCCCAGATTGCAGGCCACACATGTTTGTCTTCCTGTGAGTCAGTCCCACTGCAGGTAAATAAATCCCTGCACGTGCTGAGATGTGGTCAGACCCTGACCTTCTGTTTACACAGCTCTCCAAATTTTAAATAGCCTCTCTGATTTTTTTTATGTTTCAGAAACCAAATAAATTGTAAGTCTCCTGCTTGATATTAAACTAATTTGATGTGTGCTTGTGATAAAGGCATTTCCTTGGTGGCAGCTCCATTTCATTAGGGTTACAGTATTTTGGGGGCTGAAATAGTCAGACAATGCACTGCAATGTAGCTCTGCCTGGCAGATTCTTGGCAGTTGATTCCTACCTTTATGAGACTCCATTGTGTGGACATCAATGTCTCCCTCTCAGCTGCTCTCAGACAGCAAGTTACTGGCCATGAATTTGCCTTTCTAATGTTCTTAGGCATTTTCCCATCCAGCTCAGACTCAAACTTGTGCTAGGCTTTCATCTGCCAGCTACCACTTCTGCGGTGTCATCTAAACAACAGCTCCACCTGCTTATCTGTTGCTGGCTCTTCTTGTTCATTTTCAGTGGTTTTTAATAACTGAGGAGGTCCTCCTGCTCTGAAAGGAGGAAATATTCTGGGAGAAAGCTGGGCATGGTAATCTCAAATGGTTGGCCTAAAGCTCAAGGTGGAGCAGCCCATCCACTCGTGCTGTGGGGTGCCTGTTGTGGATTCTGTTTTGACACCGATTACTTGGGAAAAATATTTTATCCAAAATTCTGAGGTTTTCCAGTAAGGGTGGCCCTCTGAAAGCAAACTAGGGTGATTTTTCAAAAAAATGTGTCTCTTTTTGGATGCCTGAGTTTCACTCAGTGAAAACTTGTTGACCACTGATAATTTAAAATTTTTTGCTATAGCTTTCAGTTGTGTCAGAGGCATTCTCATGTAACTCTCCTTTACAAAAAATACCTGTTGTAAATATAGGCTTTTCTGCTTAAATGTTTGTTGAATTCAGTAGCCCACATTAAAAACAAGAGCTCGTCGGTGCATAAGCTGTTCACAGTGAGCAAGATGAGAAGACTGTTAAAATCAGTGGGAAGTCTGCTGCTTACTTGGAAGCATTTGAGACCTTCCACCAGCCTTTGTTAGCCATGTGAGGTACTGTTCCTCGTCCCTTCCCGTGTTCCCTTTCAGCAAACCTGCAATGGCCACAGCAGATCAGCCCCACTGTCTGCTCCAGAACACTCCTCTGGAGTGGGACACGTGTGGGTTGAGCTCAGGTAGGGGCAAGAATCTCTGCTGGGGCCAGTCCCAGGCTAACCTGGCCCCAGGGAACATTTAATTTAACCTCTAAAAATTAAAGGTTAGCTTGTGTCCTAAAGCAGGAGGATCCAGTTCCTGCCTCCCATGGTTTTTTGTTTGTTTATTTGAATATTTATTGCTGCAGCTTTGCCTTTCCATATCCAACGTTCAACCTGGTTTTAATTCCTGCTGAGCTCTTAGTTTCAACATTGCCTCGTGGCGACGAGTTCTACCGGTAAATGATGAGGCTTTGAGGAAAGATCATTCTTTTTATCGGTTTTAAACACACCACCTTCAATTTCAGTGAATTTCCCCAGGTTCTTATGAGACAAGATGAGACACATCCTAGAACTATTCTTTATTTGCCATTCATGTTCTCCTTCAGGTAAACAAGCCAATCTGTCCACTTGCTCCTAATAGAGAAACTTGTAAAAACTCGTCCCTATGATTGGGTGAATGCGACTTTTTTTTTTTTTAACAGACAAATAAAGACAGTGGGGTATGTTTTCAAAAGACTTTCCTGTTAAATTTGTGGAATTCACTGGCATTTGAACAGCTCTCAGTAGTCACCAAGCTTCTGTCAACTGCAGAATAGCCCAGAAAGAGGAGCAGGGCGAAGTCGGCCAGGTTTTGTTGTTATTTGCCCCGCTCCAGTTCCCATGCACTGGCATTCTCCTGCTGGCCTCTTCACCCAAGTGTGTTGAGTGAAGAAAGCTTCTTCTATTCTATTTTAAAACTGTGTGTAAACATCAGCAAATGGATGAAGAATGGGCTCTGTTTTAAGTGGGTTGTTTTTCATGTAGTTCTGTTGAGGTAAATGGGGAGACATGGGAAGGGTTCTGTGTTTAACCATGACACCATGGCACACACACTACACACAGTGCAAATAAAATTTAAAAACAATTACTGCTTCAGATGGCATACAGAGTGATTCCTGTAAACCTGTTATTTCTTGCCAGACTGAATGGGCTGGTTTGGGATGCTGATGTAAACCCTTTATTATTTATCCTCTACAGGTTGTAATTCATTTTTGCACAACAGCTAAATACATTTACATTTAAAGATTTTTTAAAATATATTAATCTATTGTCTTATCTTGACAGATTTATGATGGTGTAAAATGTAGAGGAGTTACTGTATTCATCCATTTATGCCGTAAACTAATCTTGTCCCTGCATGTTGTTGCTTTTCCTTCCTTTTAAGTGGTATTCTCAGTGTTTTGTAGCACTTTTTTCTGTTTTCTTAGCACTGTACAGGTTCACTGTGTTAATGCATACTGGGTTTATCTAATGCCTAGCTGCCCAAACAGCTTAAAATAATGGGTCTAATGGTACATAGGTACACTGGTAGCTGGCTGAGCTTGAAAGTACTTTCAGCAGGAAAGGAAAAGAAAATTGTTCTTTCAAATTGATTCAGAAGAGACATTTGTCAAGATGCTTCTTATTTAAATAATTTAAGATATAATTAGCTGACAGTGTAAACAAAAATCCATTTGTAAATCCAGAAGAATATGAAGGAGGATGTGTTTGTTAAAGACTGCCAGGAAGCTGTACAACATTAAAATAAGATAGTTGCTTATATTGTTCTCAGAAAATGGTAATGTGTTTGTTACCGTGCTTATTGAGGATTGTAGAAGAAAATTGACCCAAGTTGATTTCAAATAACAATCAGAAATATGTGTGATGAGCCACAGGAGAAGCGAAAGGGATTTGGGGTTGTGGTTTGTTTGTTTATTTTTTTTTTCCTTGGCTATCATTAAAATTCTCACTATCAGTACTTTGGCTATCACTAACATTTTTCCAGTAAGGGACAAAATTATCAAACTTTATGCTGCAGCCTCTATTGAATCCTGAGCTGGAGCTATTACAGCTTGGAATCACAACTCAGGAGCCAGTAGGAGCTTCTCATATCTGAGGGCAGAATTTAATGTCTTGTGCTATTTGAGGCTTGGTGTTGGGCTCATTCCTAATCATTGAGGAGGGTTCTGGTAGATGTCAAGTGAAGAGAAGAATAGAGCACGCATCCTTCACCACTCAAGCCAGACAATGAAATTAGAAAATGGCACTGGGAGTTGATTTGAGAGAATTCCCTTGGATTCCTAGAGGAAGAATAAAACAAGAATGAATTAATTAAAAAAAAAGAAAGGAAAAGAAAAGGGAAAAAAAAAGAAAATAAAAGAGTTGGGGTGGGGGGAGACAGAAAGGAAGAAAATAAAAAGAAAATAAATGAGAGGAACTCCTGCCAGAAGGCTCCTCAGGTTAAAGTCCGACATTAAAAACTGTATTGACTTTTCACATAAAGGCGTGTGTGCTCACTGTTTCATCTGAGGTTCTGGTGCTGCATTTTTCAAATCTCTTACCCAGCAGTTTGCATGCATATGATGTTTGCAGCACTACCTGCTCTTATTTGAAGACTGTTTTCAGAAGTCATTATTGAACTATAGGATAAAAAGGTATAAGCATAATTACGTGTTAAAGAGAATAAATATGTTCTGCTAGATAGTTAACCAGATGAGGTTAAACAAGATAAGATGAATTCTGGTCTTTTTAGAAAACTGGCAGTCTTCATTTTAAGCTACAATGTAAAGTGCTTTATCCTGAGATTAGGTATTGTGGCAGAAGCTAAAACTGCCTTTTTCCCCTAACCGTGCCAGAATACAACCTCCTTTTCTTTCTGCACTAACAAGACTGCTTTACCACCACAGCCCACTCTAAGTAATTAAATCAATCCTTTGTACTTACCGTATTCTCCTCTAGTGACGGTACTAGATCTGATTATATGCTTCATGCATATTCAAAGTACAGCACTGACAGCTCTTTAATGAGCTCTTACTTAATCAGTACGAACAATGTTCATCTTGTTCTTTTTTCCCTCATACATTAGAGCTAGGAACAGTTGGGGAAAAAATGAAACATCCAGCATTCATTTGAAAAATATATTGTACTTTGAAAAGTGTCTAAGCTGGAGAAGTTGCATTCTGCCCTTTAAAAGTCTGATGGACAAATTGGATTACTAGTATTGGATTAAATAACAAATGGTTAGAGGAGAAATGAGAAAAGCTCGCTGTGATCACAGGCTTTAATATTTTTTGTTACTTATAAAGCTGAAGGGGTCTTTAACCAGTTATTAAAGTCAGGATTAATTTGTAATGGTCCAACTTACTAGCTTTAAAAGGGTTTTGTTGTTGTTGTTTATCAAAAACAATAGTGTAATGCATGTATTATGGAAAAAATTTAAGTTTAAGATCTGTGGGCTATTTATAGATTTTCAGCATCTTGTACTGGCTTAGATAAGGTTTTGCATGTGTGGGATCGATTTGTTCTCCAGCATGGGTTTTTTTGCTTCATTTAAATAATCTGTACAGTTTGTTGGGGTTTTTTTTTCCCCATGAACAACAGAGATACTTTCCCAATTTAAATTTTCAAGCATTTGTAGCAAGTCAATTAAATACTTGTTTTACACTTGGAAAGTGGAAACAACAACCACCCCAGCAGCAGCTTGAGTTTTACAGAGTGAAACCGTGTTGAAGAAAGGCTTTTTCTAAATTTTTTATTTAAAAAATTGTAAATGTGAGTTTAGCTTGCAGTATTGCTGCAGTAAGAACACTCAGTTTTTCTTTGTTGAAAGTGTTTCATGTGCATCCTTTCACCAAGTAAAAAAATGAAGTAATGCTCTAATGCTAGTGTATTTGCCGAAGAGTTATTTAAATTTCTTATATATGGGAGTTCATCTTTATTTTGCTTGCCTGGAAAGAATTTGTTTCAACTCTGTGCACAAGAATTTAAAAGCTGACAGTCAACAAATAAAATATCAGCACCGACTACTATTAATATTGCACACATGTGTCATTTCACTGATCAAAAAGGCCTTCACCAGGGTAAAATTGGCCTTTTTCCAAATTGCAAGCTTTTTCTCAGCTTTTTCTTTTTTGCTCTTTCTTCTTTTGTTGCTGCCCGGGGATTTGTGCCTATCGCAGCCGATATCACATGACCGGTGTCAGGGCATCACATGGGTCCAAAGCGAATACAAAAACAGATTTAAAATTCTGTAAAAACAATCAAGACTTTGTTAATTCACTTCTAAACCAGCCTATTCTATGGATATTGCATGTGCTTTGGTGTCAGCATGGATATATTAAAATAGGCACCTGTGCAGATCTGGTACGACAGCTCCAAGCTTTACCCAGATCTTTTCTCATTAAATGTTGCAACTAACTGTTTTTTGGAGGAATGCATTTAATAGAAAGAAGATTATATCTGAAGTCTATGTTCTTAACCTGAAATTGCATGGAAAGTCAACAAAGTCAGATCCACCATTGAGCCAAACGCTTTGGAGACATTTATTTCTCCCATTTCTTTTTCAAGGCTTGCAAAATTAAATGCAGTAAGGGCTTGTATTTATAATCTTTGAGCCAGACATCCCAGTCCACCCCAAAACTAACAAATTCATTGAAATGTTACTGTAGCCACGGATGTCTGGTTGTGAGAACTTTGCTGCACTGCTAGTAAAAAATCTCATGCATTACAGAATAGACTGGTCATTTAGCAAGGATTAAAAAAAAAAAAAAGGGCAAAAAAATCCCCTTCTTCTTGACCTCTCCCCTAAATAAGTTTCCTCTACTTGTGCATTTCAACAAAAGGTTGGTAATACTGATTATTATCTACTTCCAAAATCAGACTCTGTTAGATGGACCAGTACAGCAGCAAGGCCTTTGATCTGTGATTTACCAGCAGTGTACTGAACTGCTGAATATTGCTGTAAATGCCATGGTGTGATATTTTATGCACAAAACCCAAAGTGGAGCTACTGGGAGAGAGTGTTTCTACATGTCAGATTTCTTCTTTGCTTGCTCCATTGCCCCAGGAGCTGAGCCCTGCTGCTTTTGCTTGGGAGAGCACTTTGGGTCCATCCACGCTTTGGGATGCTCCTCCCTTCTTGTCTCACTGCTAGCAAATTGTGGCCCTAAAAGCACCATTCCAGGAAATTTCATTGAGCAGGCAGATAAGTGGATATGGGTGGATGTCTCCTATCAGAAAGGAGAGCATGCCAAATGTAACCTTTTCTTACTGTGGGGGTCCACCAGTTCCACCCCAGGCTGACCCACTCGACATCTAAGCTCATGCTCCTCTGCCTCTATTCCAAGTTTATTCCTAGATTCATTTTAACCCTGTGTGAGTTTCATAATGCAATGAGGACCATATGGCCTTTGCTCTTCACCTCAGCTTGAGGGATGAGGATGGCAGGTTCCCATGGAGGCACAGCCTCCACAAAGGACTTGGAGAAAGTCCCTGAGCTCTGAGAGGGTGGAATTTGGCTGAGCAGCCCTGCTGCATGGAAAGCACAGTCAGGAACCCTCTGGACGCTCCTCTGCCTTTTGCTCCTGGTGCAGGGGTGGTGGCACAGAGTCTTAGAGAGTCTGCTAGAGCTTAGCACTGCCTGCAGGTAGGCTGTGAAGAGTCCTGGTCCTGATCCTGCTCCTGATCCTGATCCTAATCCTGGTCCTGATCCTGATCCTGATCCTGATCCTGGTCCTGGTCCTGGTCCTGATCCTGATCCTGATCCTGGTCCTGATCCTGATCCTGCCTGGGATGGGTGGGGCTAGGGAAAGGGGTGCTAGTCCATGCATACACACACGGGACCCTTGGGTACCTGCATCCCAGGATTATTTCTATTTGGTGGCAGGTTGAGGAGAGGAGCAGCTCTTTCCAGCTGATCTGGAAGAGTGGCCATGAACAAAGAAGCTGAGCAGGTGCCCACACCTTAGCCAAGAGTTCAGGATTAGCATCTCCTCTGCAGCTACTTTGATCCCTGCTGCATCGTCCTGGCTGGGCTGGGTTTGCTGGGCTGGGTTTGCATGGGTGGAGTGGATCTTGCCTACAGGGATTGTTCTTGTGTTTGGTGATGATCAGACATCTTTTAGCAGTTGGGGTTTTTCACTGGAAGCATTGCAATTGTATAGTTAATTTGGGAGAATTTAAAATACACAATCCTTTTAAAAGGTATTTATTTAGGACCAGCATGATAAAGAGCACTACATTGTATCCTGAAGGATGGCTGCTTTCAAAGATGTATTTATAAACCAGGCAGAACTTTGCAATCATATGATATTTTCACCATTTGAGAATATGCCTTGTCATGCTCAGTGATACTGGCAAATGATGCTCCAAAACCTAAAGTGAAAATATGCACCTCAATTCCTGAAATGCCACATAAGTAATGAAGTTCTTTTGATTGCAGGAAGAAACACAGAAGAAGAAGAAGCTATGATGCAGGAGTGGTTCATGCTGGTTAATAAGAAGAATGCCTTAATAAGACGAATGAACCAGCTTTCTCTTCTGTAAGTACAGATGAACATATGTATTTACAAAAGGATGATTTACTCTTCAGATAAAAGCAAAACTTTTTTTACTCTCTTCCTATTAGGCGTCAAAAAAAATCCCTCAAAAGTGAGTAGCGTGGATGTGTTACACATTAAGTAACTTGTTTTTCTCATATTTCAGACTTGAAAATGAGAAGCATGCAATGACACAAGATTAGCCAGAGCTGTGAAAAAAAAAAGAAATTAAAGAAATATTAAGCACTGTTACATTTTCAAAAGCCCAGCAGTGGAATAAAATTACATTTTAGAAATGCACAGATAGATTTGGATTGTTCCTCACATGAGACAGGTGAAGTCTATTCAGAGAGAAAGCCAAATTTGAGTCACTACCTGCTTTGCAGAAAATCCTCAGTCCCATCTGTGCTGAAGGGATGCAGTCAGTAAATCAGTCACAGTGCAGTGATACTACTGATACTGCAGAGTAAGGACAAATGAACCTTTCCTCAGTTGAGGAAGGGAGAAGGTGCTGCTCATTTTTAGAGGCATTCTGCTCTGGGTTCTTCTCTTCCAGCTGCTTTCAGTTTGATATTTCTTTCCATAATGCCACCTAGTGTAGATGCCTGCATACTTCCCTGGGAAGAGCCTCTGCTCACCTATCTCCTGCTGGGTCTGAACTTGACAGAGGATTTTACCTGCAAAATATTAAGCTTTCTAATCCCTTGTCTAATTTTTATTGTTGATTAGGGCAAAATGTATATAGAATAACACTTCCAGTGTCACATGCTGGAATTTGCTCATTAGATCTAGGGGAATATTTTATACTTTGGACATTCCACAGCAGCTGTTCCAGAGATGAATATGAAATATTTGCACCCTGTAGCGCAGTGGAGTTAAACTGACAGAATTAAAGCCAACCTCACGTGAAATGAAAAGGCCCTGTTACTGAATAGGCCACCGAGCCAGATTTTAAGTTTGTGTATCATTTGTTTGGAGTAGCTTAAAGTTAAAGAGAAAAGTCAGTCCCGGGTCCTAAAATCAATGTAAGTTAAAGGTGCTTTTAAGTGTTTAATGATTTAGTAATTAACATATTGATGAACATTTGCAACTTGCCTA